AATTTTGACCCGGTTGAATTAACCGCAAAATTTGTTTACAATTTTGGTTCTCATCGTGCGAAAAGCTGAATGTCAAATTAAAACTTACGAGCAAGGAACCAGGCATCATTGTGCGAAACGGTGCGAAACTTTTCAGTGTCGTTGCCATTGGCCAATCAGATGAATCGTTACAAATATCGAACGGCTGATTATAAATGGCGTAGAAAGCAATCGAAAAGACCGTGGATGGGTTGAAAGTCGAATCTCGCGTATACCAGATGCTACTGACGGTTGTGAGTGGTCCCAGTTAATGTATTTAGTAGTATTATTTAGTGAATTTAAGTGATTTTGTCCCTAACTTTCCTGACAAACATGCATTAGTCTATGTTTACGTTCCGAATTGTTGTGCCGCAATTATGTCTACCAAGGAGTTTTAGCACGAATTCGCTCGTTTCCTGATAGATATTTCATGAACGGGAAGGGCTAGAGACTTGGGGTCGGTCTCATTTGGAAGCTTAATACAAACGTGAAATAGTGATAAAAGTCGTTTTTAATTGTCTGGCCAATTGTTTTCACAACGGCTCGGGAAATGAATCCCTTGCTCGTAGGCTCGAATTTGGAGTTTCCGGCCTTCTCTTAACTTATAGTATATTTTAAAGGGGGTCATTATTTACATTTTTTTTTGTTTTTTTTGACACTTTTAAGATGAACACAGGTTTTTTTATCAATCTGGTCATATTTTTTTCTTCCCAGGTCCGATACTTTTGCCTGTGGTTAGTCTCCAACTAACACTGTTCTGTATACGCCCCTGTATAAAAGGGGCGTAAATTTGTTTTACTCCACGTGCCAAAATACGGGATCATCCTGAAAATAACGGGATGTACCGATAAAGCGACACCTGCTGTCATAATACGAACACAAATTATTGCAACTCGCATTATGCTTACTGCCAACTGCTTAGTGCGTACTGTCACATGCGACTATAATATCGCTATCGTTGTCATCTTCGTTGTCGATGCGCAGTGATATATCACAGGCAAAAGTATCGGACCTGGGAAGAAAAAAATATGACCAGATTGATAAAAAAACCTGTGTTCATCTTAAAAGTGTCAAAAAAAACAAAAAAAAATGTAAATAATGACCCCCTTTAAAATATACTATAAGTTAAGAGAAGGCCGGAAACTCCAAATTCGAGCCTACGAGCAAGGGATTCATTTCCCGAGCCGTTGTGAAAACAATTGGCCAGACAATTAAAAACGACTTTTATCACTATTTCACGTTTGTATTAAGCTTCCAAATGAGACCGACCCCAAGTCTCTAGCCCTTCCCGTTCATGAAATATCTATCAGGAAACGAGCGAATTCGTGCTAAAACTCCTTGGTAGACATAATTGCGGCACAACAATTCGGAACGTAAACATAGACTAATGCATGTTTGTCAGGAAAGTTAGGGACAAAATCACTTAAATTCACTAAATTATACTACTAAATACATTAACTTGGACCACTCACAACCGTCAGTAGCATCTGGTATACGCGAGATTCGAGTTTCAAACCCTCCACGGTATTTTCGATTGCTTTCTACGCCATTTATAATCAGCTGTTCGATATTTTGTAACGATTCATCTGATTGGCCAATGGCAACGACACTGAAAAGTTTCGCACCGTTTCGCACAATGATGCCTGGTTCCTTGCTCGTAAGTATTAACTTGACATTCAGCTTTTCGCACGATGAGAACCAAAATTGTAAACAAATTTTGCGGTTAATTCAACCGGATCTAATTTATTAGAACGATTCAGAAAAAACATCAAAATACATTATAACAATGGCTGTAGTAACCTGGTAAGGTTATTAACAATGAATATATACTTGTTTTTCTATCTAGAAATCAAAACTTCGTAGTGACAATCAGCTGGAAGCAGACAATATTCATATTAAAAAAAGTCCGGGAAATTTTTTAGGCACAAAATCATTGTACTAGATAAAAAAAATTATGAAGTTATGCCTTATCCATGGACACTTTTTAACCAAAGGTGCTAGTGGCATTGATTTGACCTAAAATGTGCTTGACCTTGTTATTTATTCTCTAAATATGTTAAAAAAATAAAAATTAAAAAAAAAAATTTTTGTTATTGTTATATTAGATCTAGTTAAAAAAAAAAAATTGTTTTTTGTTACTGTAATATTAGTCTATAATAATATAACAGTAAATTTTTTTTTAATATATTGATGTTTAAGTGCATAAATCACAAGGTTTAACACATTCTAGGTCATATCAATGCCACTAGCTCCTTTGTTTTTAACATGATATGAGCTGTGTCACGACAAAACCAACATAGTGGGTTTGCGACCAGCATGGATCCAGACCAGCCTGCGCATCCGCGCAGTCTGATCAGGATCCATGCTGTTCGCAATCAGTTTCTCTACTTGTTATAGGGTTTGTAAGCCAACAGCATGGATCCTGATCAGACTGCGCGGATACGCATGCTGGTCTGGATCCATGCTAGTAGCAAAACCCATTATGTTGGTTTTGTCGTGACGCGGCTCATATATATATACTAATTCATCCCAATTCCTAGTTTCAATACTTATACTCTTTACCAAAGCATTGGGGTGTATGTGAACGTGATTAGGATCAATGTGCTTTGACAAGTACTGCTCAGGGACCATCAACCGGACAGTTTTTGAACATTTTTCCATACAGATTTCATAATTTTAAAGCTCGAGATCTGAAAATTTGACACTGTACAGCTAGGTTCTTTTCCTAACTTACAACATTTATGTACAAAATAGTTTTATTATTTCTAATTATGTTGACACATCTGAGGAAATTGTCAGCACTACAGTACCACAAGTAATGGACAGATATGTACATGACATCGATTTAATTAATTCAATAAAAGCTTGAGTGTTTTATTTTTTAACATGATAAACAATTATTCAGCAACAAATGCTGAAGCTTTGGATATTCTATTGTTTACTCTGAAATTGATTATAGCTAGTGTAAGAGGTCAGTTATTGCACTCTTGATGTCCAAATTTTCAACGTTAACGTTCTTGAAAGAGACATTAAAATATTATCATTTATGAGAGATGAAATAAAATCAATTGTTGATAATGAAGTGACTGATAGATCAATAGCCACTGAACCAATAAAGTAGATATATCAGGCATTTTCTGGGCCATCTGGGTTTGGTGGTTGTCCAGTTTTGGTGGTTTATTGCACTAAATTGCTGATGATCATTGAAAACAACACATGTGTACTAATTAATATTTATAACATGACTTCCTATATATATATATATATATAGCCTTCACATAAATATTGACAAGTCTGAAGCTACGTTTATTATACTTATGAAACTGACACAGATATAGAAAGACATTCTTTCTAAAGTTCTATCATGAAACAATGAAGCAATATTTCTGTCATGTAAAAAAAAGCTCTTCCACAATGATCACAACAAAGGCATATTAAAGCTGCATACCTCCAGATGAGCCAAATATGTCAAGAAATTCAATCTTTAGAAATCTTAAAAAATATTTAATTAATGATTTACATATTACTAACACAAAAAGAGGTATTTATGAAAATAGAAAAAAAGGCAAAAAGCATCTCTCCTGCTTATAATTCTGTCAGTTATGGTAGAATTAATTCCAGGGCTTGAGACCCGCAATGGCGCAGTTAATACTTTTTTTTTTTTTTTTCTTTTTTCTTTTTTTTTTTTTGAGCCTGGAAAAGCTCTTTTTTTGATATTTTTTAAAATAATAAATACTCTTCTTTTATTGGAGCTAAATTGTTTTTTTCAAAGCTCATCTTTTGTTGGAGTATTCTTTTCATAGTTTTTTTTTCTTTTTTTTTTGTCAGAAACAGAATGACATTTGTTTAAGCTTATTGCAGTCAATATGTAATAAGGAGTAAATCATCTCTGTAAAGTACAACTAAAACTCCGAGAGTCGAATGTGGCGCATTGTGAACAGCACAGTTGTCACAATGTTACGCTGTTATATTATCAAAAATAAAAATACCATGGAAAAGTTTTACACTGACAAATCAAATGGAGGACTCTGTGATGGATTCTTAAACACTGCACTTCTGGTCAATGAAAAAAAGCTTACATACCAAAATGGGAGTCAATCAAACATAACAGTGATCAAGTTATGCTGTGGGCAAGGCTTAGCCTTTTAAGTAAGAAAATTAACAAATGGGAATAACTCAAAATCATGATTTGCAGAGTACAGTTATTGTGCATATCAATCCTTCTCAATGAGATTTATCATCCTATGAAGTATCAAGTCAATAGCTTTTAACATGTAGGAGAGTTGGCCTGGACAAAAATAAAGTATTATAATTGACAAAGGGCAATAACTTTAAATCAGGAAGTAAATAGTACCGTTCTTGCTCTCAATGAGATCTATCATCCTATGAAGTTTCAAGTCCAAAGCTTTTATAGTTTATGAGAAATGGCCCAGACAAAATAAAGTCTGAATATTAACAGGGGGGCAATAACTAAAAAAAATAAAAAAGTGCGGAGTAACGGTTATTTTGCACTGCACTTTACCTTAATGAGATCTAATAATCCTATGTACCTTAATGAGATCTATAATCCTATGAATATTAACAGGGGGCAATAACTAAAAAAATAAAAAGTGAGGAGTAACAGTTATTGTGCACTGCACTTAACCTTAATGAGATCTATAATCCTTTGAAGTTTCAAATCCATAGCTTTTACAGTTTACGAGAAATAGCCAAGGCAAAAATAAAGTATGAAAAATTAACAAAGGGCAATAACTTAAAAATAAAGAAGTGCAGAGTAACGGTTTTTGTGCATTGTACTTCTGGTTAATAAAAGGTACATGTATGCATACCAAGTTTGGAGTAAATCCAACTTAAAGTGACTGAGTAATGCTCCGGACAAGCTTAAGTTCTCAATAATGCCACCGACAAAAGTAACATGTATATGTTGCCTTTTTCAAGACGACACAAAAAGTGAGCTAAAAAATATTTTGTACATTATTTACAGTTTTCACAAAAATATTGTACTCCAGATTTCTGGTATTTATTCCATTTGGCTTTACTTCTCAGTCCAGCACAATTTCTGTGAAGCCACTTTTGACAGGAATCACAAAATATCCATGTCTTTCCTTCTGTTTTATTGCACACTAAACACCTTTCCTCAGATTCCTCATCCATTTCTTCAACCTCGACAGACTGCGCTGTCACTAGAACATTTTCAGTTTCATGTGTAGTAGAAGCAAGCTCAAGACCAGAGGTGCTAGGTGCTGGTTCCACAATTGTCACTGGTGTACTTTGATTGGCAGCCCCAGTTGATGTGCCTGGTGGTGTAGAATGCACATCATGAACTAATTCTTTTTCAATAGACTGTAAAGCATTAGGGTTGGGCATGGAGATATGCTCTGTAATTGCTTTAGATAGTCCTTCTATCAAATCAGACTTTAGTTTTTTACCTTTAAGTATCACACTGTATGCTACAATTTTATTAGCTGACTTTTATTCATTAGTGAGAGAAATTCACTATTATTGAGGAGCAAACCTCGCATCAGTGAATGGGACATTTCTTTCCCATCTGTTTTGTCCTGAACAATGGTTTCATAAGAAATAGATTTCATGACTGTTTCTTTTTTCTTTTTTTTTATAAGTACTTGTTTCCGATGCTCCATTGTCTTTCCAACTTTGTAGGACTGTAACATGTCCTTTCTAAACTGTGAGAACATCACATGCAGGAATCTTTTGCAGATTTCATGAAATAATTCCTGTATCAGTAATTGTTCACCAATAATCACTTTAGTAGAACAACAATTACTGAATGTAGTCTCCAGTTCCTCATCACTCTGAATCTCAGTTATACAATACTGAAACAGATTTTCCCCGACTTTGTTAAGAGTTTCCTTAACAAGGAGCTTTAATGTCTTTTCACACAATTTGCAAAAGAAGGAATATAAACTGTCAGTGATGTGTGTCAGCCCTCTTCCAACATTTTGCTTTTTTATAACATCTTGCAAAGACTGAATATCATCTGTGCTTGATTTCAAGTACTCCTCTTCTTCACGAACACTTTGCAGGAGTTCAACAGCAACTAAGCATTTCTCATACTCTTCTTCTTTTTTCAAATCATACATTGTAGAATGCATTTTTTTAATATAATGCCTTTTCAGTTTATTAATGCAGTATCCACCTACATACCGTAACCTTGATCTGGATGCATCTGTTAACGACCTCTGTTGCTGTTCTACACTTGATAAATATTTAGATGTTTTCTGCTTTAACACGTGTTCTTTGACATAGTTGCTGATATTGAATGTTATGTGTGTGCTTTCTTGGCTTAAACATGTTGTATCAAACAAGATCATTGTTCTCAGTTTAAAGTCATCATCTATTTGGTGTTTGTAAGTTTTCTCAGTAAATTGTGTGAGTATCTCTGGTTTAACAGGTACATCCTGTGAAGAATCGATTTCTGCAATAGTTTCACCAAAAAAATTGAACTCGTATGCACAGAACTCTCTCAGTTTCAAAGGGTTAACACAACAACACAATTCATTTACTTTAACCATCACTGGTGTTATGGGGTCATCATGCTTGAGACTCTGTATCATTAGGTCCAAGTTAAAATCATCCGGAATTATGGTCAGTGTTCCTTCTTCATCCAGATCCCTCTGTTTAATAAGAATATCAAACTCTGTGTCAAAGTCCTCATCATACAGTTCATTTGTCTCAAAATCTAATGCATCATCTATTATCAATTCCTGCAGAACTTCTTCTTCCAGCCTAAAAAGATAAGTCACAAATGTTAATATAAGATGAAATAAATATCAGAATGTCAAACAATTAGCACAGACTTGCAGGCTGATCTGGATCTGCAATTGTCACATATGCTTTAAAACACATATCTATTGGGTGAGGGTTAAATCATTGGTCTTCAGCACAGGTTTGGTTGTATATATTCCAAGCATGTTAGTATTAGATGAACTTAGCATTATGAAAATATTCCGAAAAACCACATAACTGAAAAAGATGTCTAAAGGTACATGTATTTCATCCGTTATAAGGAAAGCACAATAAAATGCAGACCAAGATCAGCCTGCACATTTGTGCAATCTGATTATAGTCTGCAGTTTTCAGTCAGTATCATTTTGATAAACACCCGTTTAAACTGTTAATGACACTGTCCAAATTGAAGGATGGACAAGTTCATTATGTACATTTAGCAGTGTAAGAGTAAAAGTGACTTCATGTTTTGAGGTACTTTAAATCCATTCTCTTTGTTAAAATGATCTAATAAAACCTAATACTGTTATCTATCATAGACATTTCCACTTTCATCATTGGTATTATAAACATTTAAATATACAAATGATGAAAGATGTAAATGTCTATAATATCATGGGATAAATGGTTAAAAGGTTGTTTACACTAATTTCCATAATAAATAATTTAAAGAATTGTTCTTACATTGCAGGTTATTTACCCGTGTAAAAGAAAATGATTCAAGTTTTATTGAATGTAAGAAACTGTTTGCTACATACATACTGGAGTGCACAGACAACTTTCTGAAACCAGATGTGACTCAACGAGAACTATCTTACTATGTCATGAAAATATTCTCAAATGCCAAGCGCAAAACAATGAGACAGGGAGATGGATTTATCCATGTTTACTATGGAATTGAACTGCTGCCTCTTGGTCCTATCAACACTGATAGTAACTGTGTGAATATGCAAGAAATTTCAGACTTGATTCCAGACTTTTTCTCTGATAAGGAAATAACTAAGGAAAGCCTAACATTATCATGTAAAACTGAGTTTTGTGTGAATGGACATTCAGTTATGAAGTTGCTAACATTAAAATATGATGGTACCTTTGAAGTAAATATTGGAGGAAAAGAATTGGACCTGAATAGCCATCACATAAGTAATAAGTACAGTAAAGATAACATTGAAACGATATGCAGGATAGTGAAGAGCATGCAAATATGCCAAGGGGTAGTGGTGTCGGTTTCAGTTGTATGCTCCAGATATCACACTGTAGAAATATTAAAAGACTGTAACAAAGATGTAGAATCACGAATTGTAAGATCTGTAAACTGTCAGAAAATTTTAAATTTCAATTCTTTAATAAAAACCTGTCACATCTGTAAACATATGACTTTTCATGATAAAACCAACAATAAAGAAAACCAAAATGCAGATAGTAAAGCATCCAGTTATACATGTAAATTGAGTGATGATAATTTGAAAGAAGAATTTCGAAAGTTAATTCCAAATGCCTCTAATAACATGCTGGAGCTTTTAATTTGTCAGTCTAAAAATGATGCAAGGGATCCAAGAGGTCGACGATGGAGTAAAGAAATCATAAATTCATGCTTGCAACTTTATACAAGAAGTCCAGCAGGTTACAATCATCTAAGAGCCAGTAAGCTCCTTGAACTCCCGTCTCCTAAGATTCTCATCCTGTACAAGAGCACCATAAAACATAAAGCTGGATTTCAAGATGAGGTTTTCAGGTAACCAAACACTTATTTCTATTATTCCAGTTTTTTTATATTTCCAATTAAGTAACTAATTATTAAGCCAAAGTAAGGTTGTGCTAACTGTTTTTTTTTTCCAAGACAAGTATAAAATAATCATTTCCCACATGTTTTTACTCATATGCAGTCTTATCAAGATCTTCACTGATTGCTTTTATGTTCTTAAAAGAATTTCTGATTGAAAAACCACAGTGAAGATCCTGATAAGACTGCACACGCCTTCTATGGAGTAAGGGTAAAATAAACCTATTTAAAAATATGAATATATGAACCTATGTATTATTGTTCTCAAAGAATTGCATTGTCAGGTACAAATGACATGGGGTCTGTCACCAGGCATCAAAATGTAGTATATAATTTGTGAATTAAAGCTATTGAAAACTTAAGTTCAAGTGCAATGTACTTAATGTTCAGCCTTACTACCACATTAACCTTTTAAATACATGTAAATGAATTAACTGTTTAAAAAAAGTATTTTAAAAAAGTTCTTTTTTCAATAACAAACATTATTTCTGGTCACTCTTTATCAAAAATATTTTATATGACCTCATGCAAAATAAAGATGCAAGGAATTAATCCTTGATTTATGATTCAGTTATATGTAATTAAAAACAGCATTTTGATGATGAATGATTAGAAAACAAATTGTTAAACATGACTATTATTTGTTACCTAGCATTAATGACCCAAACATTTATTATTAATGAAACACTGAATGTCTTAGACAAAGTCATAACAGGATAATTATATTAAAGTGACTGCACTCCAAATTTTATTCAATTTTGGTAAAATCAATGTATTCAATTTGTAAGTATTAGTATTATTTTATTGTGTATGATTTAAAAATATAGGCAGAAAAACTCTTTCTTTTTTTAGAAAATTTGTCTCCTATCATACTTTAATGGCCCTGATAAATTTATGTTTTTTATTTTCTTGAAAATGAATTTTTTTAAATACTGTCAGTTATTCATTTAGAGTGCAGTATTTTTAATTTTACATAAAACAAAGCATTTGTTGAATACATTGTTTACATTTATTTTTTCCTGCTCATCAGGTGGATGTTTCACGAGGCAAGACGGCTGGAAATTCCACCAGAAGGGTGGACAGGTGGGTTGATTTTGGATGAAATGTCCATACAGCAAGACATACAGGAAACGAAATGTGGCGATGTAATAGAACTGATAGGCTTTGAGGATGTAGGACATGAGGGCAATATGTATAGCATTTTGAGAAGAGGGAAAGCTGATAAAGAACTGGGCACTCATGCCTTACAATTTATGTTTGTTGGATTGTCAGGTTTTCGCTTTCCTATTGCACATTTCATTACAACAAATGTGCAATCCTATGATCTTCACAATCTTTTTTGGAGAGCTGTTGACAAATTACAGTTGTATGGTTTTACTGTATCATTTACATGTATGGATGGGGCACAAAGCAATAGGAGCTTCTTACATCTTAATCTGGGAAAAACATTATCATCATTTGTGGCAAAAAATCCATCAAACCCCTCTAACCCAGTTATTTTCACCATGGACATCTGTCATTGCATAAAAAAAATTAGAAATAATTTAATGAAAAGTGGCACAAATGCACATTGCACTAGAAATATAGTTCTACCAGGCAATAAAATAGTTCAATGGCAGATGTGGATTGATGCTTTTGAATGGGACCAAAAGAATGCTTTACAACTGCACAGAAAATTGAAAAATGATCATCTGTATCCTAATCAGCAGACAAAAATGCGCAACCACTTGGCTGAGGAAGTCTTAAATGTTGACATGTTAGATCTTATGTCACAGTACCAAGCATCATTAACAAACAAAACTGTATTGGCAGGACCAATAGAATTACTTCAGAAAACTGGAAGAATGATAATAATTTTCAAAGACATGCGCCCAATTAAAAATGTAAATGATGAGAGAATATCTGAATTGATGGAAATAAATGACTGGTTTAATAAGTGGTTAAATAGTACACAGTTAGAAGACATTTCAAGTAAGGAAAAATCTAAAAGAATTATGTCATATCAGTGTCATGAGGATGTTCAAGCATGTTTGCTTGGCTTTTGTGAACTATGTCATCTAGTGTTATCAAACAGTAAAACTGCTTTTGTAACACCTGCACTAATCAATTCAGATGTAATTGAAAATCATTTCTGCCAACACCGAGCAACTTACAATGGGGCAAACACTAACCCAACAGCACTACAGTATCGAAGAAATATAAACGCTATAATTTTAGGACAGGATATTATCTCAAATAAAGCCAATGCTGGAAAATCTTCAAAGGACGGACCTGCTCATTCTTATAAACTCTATCAAAAGAGTGTTGGTAAAAAAAGAACTATATCTGATGACAGTTCTGCAAGAAGTATAAAATGCAAACCAATAAGATTATAAACACTGTTAAGGTTTGTTGAAAATCATAGATCTACTATTAAAGGTCCATTACTGGAAAAGTGAAGTGGCATGTTTTTCATAGCCAGTACATAAACATATGTTAGACACTAAAAAATGAAGATTGGCAAGTCAAAATTTATTGAACGGCTTTGGTACTAGAAGAAATGTATGTGTATTGTGTTAAAATTTCAATGCATTGACAGAATGACCCCCATGTCTTTTGAACTTTCTACAATATTTATAAAAAAATAATTGTACAAATACTGTTTTTAAAGAAATGAAATAGTTTCTGTGCTTTTTAAAATATATTTAAATTTTTAGTATTGGACCTTCAACAACTGTATTGTATTGGAAAAAAGAAAAAACTTTGAAAGCAATTATTACTGCTTTACAGATTAGCTGTTGCCTGTTCCAAATAGTTGATGCTTTGAAGAAATCAAATTGGTGATTATACATGTGTGAAACATGCATTCAATATTTTGAAACATTGTATCAGAATAATTCAGCTACTTATTCTTCTTGTAGCTTTCATCATGTTCTTATTTCCAACATTTAAAACTAAAGCTTTCATCATGTTCTTATTTCCAACATTTAAAACTAAGATTTTAATGCTATCAAATATTTTACATAATTCAAATCTTGATGATTTCCAAATTATTTATGCTTTAAGTCAAATACCAGTAGATTGATGATATTATTCTTTTAATATCAGGATAAAAAAATATATATCAATCAACATCCTTATTGTGGATATAAATATATGATATATTATATATATGATATTATGTTTGTAATAAAATGTTAATAAAAATACCTCTTTTCAAACTGACAATGTTTTTAGAATTATAACTTGAGTCCAGTTACTTGACATAGGGCATATAACAAGGGTGCAGCTCAAGCTATATAATAATATGCATTTGAACTGTAAACAAAGATTATACTAAAAAGAAAATCACTAAAAGATTCATATCACTTTTTCAATGATAATTATCTACATTTTTTTCAAAGATTACTTTTTCAGCAAACCGCTAAAATGTTTGACCTAATAATGTAAAAATAATGATGTAGAAACGGTGTTTTGCATAATAGCACACACTGTAGGTGTTATTTGGTTTAAACAAATTTATCTACACTTGATTGCGAAAACAAGTTCTTGCAACTTATATTAATCACTTTCAAATCTGATTCCTGGAACCAACCAGTACTCGTGTCATGAAGAAACATTATGGCTCGACCCTATGATTCCTGGGTTAAGAGGCAGACACCTTAACCACTAGGTCACCACTCCCCTTAGATGTTATTTCTTTAATAGGGAAATAAATGTTGCTGTTTTATAATCTTAAATAATTATTTAATGTATTGATTATGGAATGGTAAATGTTTATAATAACCTTATATTGTTTCTGCAACACCTCATGTCATCTTCAGGTTTCACAGTCTGAACCGTCTGAAAGTGTCTAACATTTTCTGCATGTGGCATGCACACTCTGGGGTGAAAGTTTATGACCCTTAGACCAGATTCACTCCTGACTCTCCCTATTGCAACGCCTAGTTGTCCAGCTTTGAATATTTCTCTGCAATCAACCACAACACTGAAAAAAATACATTTTTTCATAAGTATTTTTATTGATTTCAGTCTGAAGTCACATGTTAGATTTATTTATGATAAAGCAATAATATTTATTCTAAATGTGAAGCTTTAACATATGATTTCAATAAAAATTGTTTCCGTTTCCTTATTTTTGAGATAAACTTGCATGATTTTCATTGCAAATCTTAATATTTATAGATTTAGAGAACCTAAAATATATTATTATCCAAGCTATGGTGACAATTTTCTTATAAATTTGGCAAATGTAGACACTTAAGCTACCTCATTTTATTACCTGTCTAATGTCATTCCCTGTGACTTGTGAATGGTGAGAGCATAGGCAAGCCGGAGTGGAACTTGTTCTCTTGTACATATGTTCTTGTTCAGTGATGGACTAAAGACTGAAATATAATTATAACTAGATACAGTCAGAAACCAATTAAAATACCTTGCTTTTGAACATACCAACATTAATTTATTTAATTAAAATTGGAAAACAATTCAGCATAATTCAACAGACACATAAAAGATGTATTATGTGAACAACTGTAACATAATAACATAATTTTTCCCTAACAAGAATGTGAACCATCCAAATGGATGACTTTATTTCATAAAAAAAGTAAAAGTCTGGTATTCCAATATAGTCTTCATATATAGCTTATTTATATGGTTGTATATCATTTTACCAATTTCAAAAAAATCATTTTAAAAATACATCAAAAATATGTTTTAATTTTTTTTAAAATGTGTTCCTCTAGAATATGTTAACATGAATTGTGCCAGATACCTGCACAGCATCTATATCATTTAATAAATAGTGCAACAGAACTCACCAGAAAAAGTCATCTTCTTCACTTTAGTTGTTATGTTTATTTGTTTGAAGTACACAACTGGACCATCAGCTTCCACTTTCACAACAATCCCTCTGAGACCATTTACTAGTTTCTGTGATAAATTCCTTAGTAAAAGCACTGGTGCACCAATTTTCAGCCAAAGAACCTTTGGAGCTGTAAACTGTTCTAGCAGTGACTTTTTCCCCTCATCTTTGGCTACAAATTCATATAGTTCTCCAATGTGATTTGTGATTCTCTTTCTGTTTAGGACATCAGCCAATCGATTATTGGCAAATAACATGACCGGCTCATTGGTGTTATCAGACAGAGGCCTACTTAAATTTTGCATATACGATTCAACTTCATCATCAACATTACCCACTGATACCTCTTTTATCACATTGCATAAAGTTGTGTCTCTCTGTCTTACAATTTCTTCAAGAGTTACTTTGTGTTTGAGGACTTTTTTAAATATTGCACTTTCAAAACACATTTCCCCATTGTCATTGTATAACCTATTTGGTACAGGGGGTAGCTGATAAAAGTCACCAGCAACAATAACCTGCATCCCTCCAAACAAAAAGTCAGGGTTTCTAATGGAACATATTTCTGCCACTTGTTCAAACATACTTTTGCTAAGCATTGATATCTCATCAATTACAAGAACCTCTGTTTGCTTTATTCTCTGAAGATTTAGAGCACTCTTTGGTGAGTTTTTTATTACACTGACTATCTCTTTTGAAGTATATCTACCATCATCTATTCCAGACCATCTGTGAATGGTCTGAGCATCAAGGTCATGACTGTAATTTAAACAAGCTATACCAGTTGTGCATGTCAGCTGGACTGTCCTTCCACTAGCTCTCAAGTTCTTCACTAATTCGCCAACTATAAAGGATTTTCCAGTTCCGGCCTGGCCAGTTATTACAAGATTGTGCCCGGCCAAAGCTAAATCCAACACTTCTTTCTGTCTGGAATTCATACTGGTTATTCCAACCTTAAAAAAAGAATTAAAGTAGTTTATCATGGAGGTTTAAAGACTATGGTTACTGTTAATTGTGACTACCTATTTACTAAACCATTTGTAAGCTAGTTCTAATAATGAAATTTTAGTACAGCTGTCATCGATAGAGATAATATTGATGTATCATTGATAATTTTCTGTCAATCAATAATCGATACACATTTGAAAAAATCAATGTCCTTTTCCATTTTCACTTAAATTATTTGTAATTGTCAAAAGCTTTAAATTAAGATTATCATGATAAAGAAACAACCTACATGTTTTTGTTGGGCTGAGTACATTTTAAGTCTGAGCTTACCCAGATTCCCATTTTTGTACACATTAAGAGCAGTCTCCTTTCATTATTTTTGCCTAAAAAACAGCTTAACGGTTGTTCCGGGATATTCTAAAACAATTACTGGAGGTTACAGACAATAGAGGAAACATACCAGGAGGTTATGTAACTTTTTTGGATACATGTATTTTGGATATATTTTGAAGTTTACAGTGATTTTTTTGAAATTTTCAAAACAACCTGTGGCTTTCTGAAGTGGAAAATATAGCGCAATAAATCAGAAAGGGGAAATCAAATTCCAACAATTGAGAATTTCAATGCAATGTTAAATATGCATCCGTGGTACATAGCAAAAGCTATCTATAGGGACAGCTTTCTGTCTTCAAGCTGATATTTATAAGTCAGTTGCTGTTAAGAAGCCAAGTATTTCCCCCTAAAATACTATTATTCCTTTAAATTCCATCAGATAAAATATCTATAAGACAGAAAGTATTAAGTATTTCCATTTCAGCAAATAAAACCTACCAATTATAGTGCAAAATAACCAAAAACACTTCAGAAGACTGCTAGAAGTAGAAGTGTTTCAACATGGGAGCTGCCATTTTTTCTTGGCTATATGCCGTATGAAACGGTACTATTTTCTGAAATCAAATGCTACCAGCTATCAAAATATCATCATTTTCTTGGTTATTTTTTAGTAAAGGAAAGTTAAAGATATGTTTTTCCTTATTATGAAGATGACTTGTATAGAACAAAAGTGTGCCACACATATACTATTAATATACTATTATACCTATACTATATTGAATTTCATACAAAAATGGAAGTGTAAGAATCCTTCACCACCATAAATATTAAGTTAATTATTATATAATTAAAATGTTTCACTGAAAATAATTATCTTTTGTCTGATGATCATAAAAAATCATTAGATTGATTAATGCACAAAATTAAAGAATAATTCATTAATTATCCCTTTATTAACTATTTCTATATAAGTTTTACATAACCTCCCAGTGATTTTTCACACATAATTGCCAATTGGGAAGATGCCTTAGCCTCTTGATTTTGGGAAAATTATTGCTAAAATTTCTAAGTTGGGAAGTAAAAAGGCAGACCTTTTTTTAAGTTCAGATTTTTGGGAAAACTGCATGATTTTAAGGTAAATCTCAATTAGAAGAGGTCTTTTATCGGAGCCTGTTAAAAAGCATGAAAAACAATGCCTCCAGAAATGGTATCGATACATTTATGCAGTGGTACGTTTCCTCCATGGTACGTAACCTCCAAATTCCTCTAAAACTAGGATATACTGAAATAGCAAACGCAATCTAAAGATTATACCACTTACCTTTAAAACGACGTCTTTATGTTGAACACATAAAGTATGCACATGCTTTAACAAACCATAAAAATGGATATAAAACAGCAAAATTGTCCACCACAAACATGTGTTTACTTTTTTTTTTTGATACATAATATCACGTGACTTCGGCTGGTTTTCGATCCCACCATATTTTGTTAAGTACGTGCAGGAAACCAGCAGTTTGTTTTTTCTGTATACTTTCTTTCATCAGTAAATTTATTGTGTTTTTTATTAATAATACATATTTTTTTGGTTATATAAAATATCCAGAAATGATAATTTTAAAAGTTATTAGTTTTTGCGCTGTCCAATGGAAACGCTGATCACATGCGAATATTGACGTATGTTTGGGATTTCTCGGATATTATCGTATCGCTAACAATGGCGTAGAAAGCAATCGAAAATACCGTGGAGGGTTTGAAACTCGAATCTCGCGTATACCAGATGCTACTGACGGTTGTGAGTGGTCCAAGTTAATGTATTTAGTAGTATAATTTAGTGAATTTAAGTGATTTTGTCCCTAACTTTCCTGACAAACATGCATTAGTCTATGTTTACGTTCCGAATTGTTGTGCCGCAATTATGTCTACCAAGGAGTTTTAGCACGAATTCGCTCGTTTCCTGATAGATATTTCATGAACGGGAAGGGCTAGAGACTTGGGGTCGGTCTCATTTGGAAGCTTAATACAAACGTGAAATAGTGATAAAAGTCGTTTTTAATTGTCTGGCCAATTGTTTTCACAACGGCTCGGGAAATGAATCCCTTGCTCGTAGGCTCGAATTTGGAGTTTCCGGCCTTCTCTTAACTTATAGTATATTTTAAAGGGGGTCATTATTTACATTTTTTTTTGTTTTTTTTGACACTTTTAAGATGAACACAGGTTTTTTTATCAATCTGGTCATATTTTTTTCTTCCCAGGTCCGATACTTTTGCCTGTGTGATATATTGCATTATATTTGTAATCAGTGAATATATTGAAGCATATGAATGCTAAGACACATCAAATTATTGATCAAAATTAATAATTTATTGTGACATAATGTCGACAATATAAGGCAAATTAAAGGTACTGACAGAAACTAACCATGTGACATTTAGTTATATATCAAGAACAAGCAAAGAATGTTATCTTAAACACCAAACATAATACGTTGATCTTTATAAAAGATGCAATTAAACATATAGCATATTAAAATATGCTATGTTTGATGGTTTAGTAGGGAACACATAAGGTTGCAATTACATGAAAGTGCATTCAGTAATAATAAGGCATGATTAAATTCAGCAAAACGCAGGTTTTCATTGTCATAAAGAAGTATAGAAGCAAGCATAATGTCCCAATATCATAAAGCAAGATGGAATAAATGCACTAATTCTGTTCCATATAACACAGACCAAGTAACTTCGATTTTTACGCATGAAATGGTAAAGGAAAAACAACAACAAGAAAACAACAGCTGAACAATATGATGTATTCTGAATGTTTTGATTACATTATATCCACTTCAATGTTTCATATACAAAACATGGCATGTAAACAAGATAATTAAAGTTTTTTTCTCTTGAAATGAATATAATATTATTATCTTTCAAAACTTGCAAACTAATTTAGCATTGTTTTCATTAAGCATTTCATTTAAGTTTCCTCAAATGTTGATTGTTCAGCCTCGAATTTTACTTCTATACAAGCAAATTCCTTGATTTGTCCCCCTGTCGAGTACTGGTTATTACTAACACAATAACTGGAGACATAAGGCTTTATTTTTATATATTTATCATGGCGTAAACAGTAATATTCTTTGTACATGATAAATATTCAGAGCAATAACAGGGGCCATAACTCAGTGTTAGATAGTATTATCTGGGCATGCCAATGAGATGCAAATTGCCTTTTTGTATTAATGGTTCCTATAAAGTTTAATTGAATTCCAGCCAGTAGTTGCAGAGAAACAGCGCGGTAACGATTATTGCTTTTTACACATACTGCATACTAATCAAGGGCCATCACTCTGTGTTGGAAGGTCTGACAGGAACAAGGCAAAGATATGCGCATCTCTTGGTATTGATGGTTCCCATAAAGTTTCGCTGAATTCCAGCCAATAATTGCTAGCGCGGAAAGAGGGCGGACGGACAATGCCAAAACAATATCCTCTCGTTTCCATTGGCGGGGAATAAAAAAAGCAAATGCACACTTTAAAACATATACTGCTTCTATTGATATATGTCTGTGGATCGAAATTCCATCAAGATTTCACACAGAAATTTCAGACCAAAATAGGATGAAATCGCATTACAAATGTTTATGTTAAATCAAAGTACATGCTGCTTCAATATGGCAGGTATCAACTCATTTGATCATAATACAATAATTACTTCAACACCAAAGTTTGGACTCATCCGTGCAGACTGATCAGGATCCATGCTGTTCCCTTACAAACCCTATTTAGAGAAATTGATAGCAAACAGCATGCATCCTGATCAGACTGTGCGGATGTGCAGGCTGGTCTGGATCCATGCTGGTGGCAAACGCATTACGTTGGTTTTGTCGTGACACGGCTCAAATTGTCCCTCAGCCAAATCAGAGTTATGGGAAATGTGCCAATAATGTGAGATAATTACAGGGAAGAAGCGTGTGGAGTTTAAATCCATTCCCTTTCTTAGTTTTGGAAATATCGGCTTACACGCTAAAACTTAACCAAATATTTCTAACTCAAAAAAGGGGCATAAATATGCAAAATAGCAAATCAGAGTTATTGGACTTGTGCAAATCATCTTAGATAATCAGAGAAAAGAAGTGTGTAGAGTTTCAATCCATTCCCTTCCAAAGTTAGGGAGATATCAGCCAAAAAGCACAAAAACTTAACCACAGGGACGCCGAAAAATGGGTGACTGCAATAGCTCGAATATTCTGCCAATAGTTGAACTAAAAATCAAGTGAAATAACATATTTGTACCCTAAATGTCATGACCATTTAAGAGTCAAGGTCACCTTTAGCTTCGTCTTCTCAAATTCTTTTGCTGAAAGGTTGATTGTGTCTAAGTATGAAGACAATCCATTCATAAGTAACAAAGTTACAACTACTTATTGCTAATTACAAGCAAAGTTCCATTTTCAATTGAAAGTCAATGCCAAGTTTAGTCTAGTCTGCTTGATGGTCTTTTCCAAATGACTTTTGTGCCCAAGTATAAGGACAATACACCAAGTAATAAAACAAATGGGCCATGATGGCCCTGAAGTTGTTCACCTGTATACAGGCCCCCAGAGCGGGGCCAGTTTAAACCCCAAGGCTGATATTTGAACAAACTACACACATAATTATACAATGTAATGAAAAACAATGACCCCCGGGCCTGGCCAATTTTAACCCAAGGGCTTTTATTTGAACAAACTTGGTAGACACCCAAAAGAAGATGTTTCATGCTAAATATATAAGCTCTAGCGATTTGGGTTTTTTAAAAGAAGATTTTTTAAGTTTTTACTATATACATATAGGGAAAACAATGACCCCCCCCCCCGGCGGGGCCAATTTCAACCCCAGGGCTCTTATTTGAACAAACTTGGTAGACATCCATTAGAAGATGTTTCATGCTAAATATCTTAGCTCTAGCTCTTTGGAATCTAAATTAAAAAAGTTTTTAAAGTTTTTACTATATGCATATAAGGAAAATCAATGACCCCCAGTGCAGAATCAATTTTGACCCCAGGGCTTTTATTTGAACAAACTTTGTAGACATTCATTAGAAGATGGTTTATGCTTAATATATAAGCTCTAGCTATTTGTTTTTTTTTAAAAGAAGATATTTTATGTTTTTACTATACACATATAGGGGAAACAATGACCCCTGGGGCGGGGCCAATTTCGACCCCAGGGCTCTTATCTGAACAAACTTGGTAGACATTCATTAGAAGATGTTTCATGCTAAATATCTTAGCTGTAGCTCTTTGGAATCTAAATTAAAAAAAGATTTTTAAAGTTTTTACTATATGCATATAGTGAAAATCAATGACCCCTGGGGCGGGGCCAATTTTGACCCCAGGGCTTTTATTTGAACAAACTTAGTAGACACTGACTAGAAAATGTTTCATGCCAAATATCTAAGCTCCAGCTCTTTGGGTTATTTAAAAGAAGATATTTTAAGTTTTTTCTTTGGGTTGCCATTGCAACCAGAGTTCTGCATGGAATTTAATTCTTTGAACAATATTTAAAGGTGACCACCAAAGGAACATTCCTATGAAGTTTGGATGAAATTGGCTTAGTGGTTTATGAGGAGATGTCATTTTAAGTAAAAGTTTACGGACGCCGGACGGACAGACAGATGCTGGACGAAAAGTGATCACAAAAGCTCACCCTGTCACTTTTTGACAGGTGATCTAAAAATAATGATCAATGTTAAAGTTTTTGGATGACAATAGCAACAGGATACGGGAACGCGAACCTGACTGTGGCAATTCCTCTATATTTTTTTCTTTGGAAAAAAAATCTAGCTTAAAATAACAAAACAGAAGATAAATATCTATTACATACTCCTTAAAAAACAAACACTTTTTGTAGGTCTAGAGCTGTTAGTTATAAGCGGTGTTTACGATATTTTATTTTGATGAACTGTTCTTTGTAAAACACTAGACTTAGTACTGAGCATTCCTGTAAAGTTTCCATGAAATTGCACCAGTAGTTTCTGAGGAGTAGTCCAGACAAGTTTTGTGGCAGATGCCGGAGAAGGGATCCCTACATGTTGCCACTACTCCGTTGAGGCAAAACAATAAACCACAAAAATATCAGGCAAATTTTAAATTAAGTTCCACGCGATATCGAGACAATTTTGACAAGAGAAATTTGAGTTCCTGCATACTTAAAAAAATGTAGATATCCAGACATAATAATATATTCACTGGTTTATCAATTTTATGTTCTTTTTTTCCTTTTCATTTTGACGTTTTTGTGCTGCTTAAATGATGTTCTCACAGAATCTTTTATCATTGTCCATGATCTGTATTCTAAACATGGTTCCTTACTGATTAGATCTTCACACTCTCTTTTTTGATGGTAACTTGACTAAAAAAAAGCATCTGTGTAATCCTTTCTTTACAGCCTCTTTTTCAATCTCTGTCCATGGTTTTCTCATCCCTTTCTGGGGGGGGGGGTAAGTTTTACCTATTAAGATATATGTTTGTGCATTTAAATTTTAAACAAACAAAAGCATCATTTAACAACATAATTGGGACTGTAAGCTGTTTATCTATTTAAGCTTCAAACAATAACAGATTGAGTCATCTATAAAAAATATACATAAGACCACATTTAGAATATTGACATGAGTTTTTTGGGTTTTTTTTAAAATAAAGATTTTTTGAAATGCACAATCACGTGAAATGCACAATCACTTTCAACCAAATGAGTCTGTGAGAATGTGCAAGCAAATGTGTCAAACAGAAGTGTTTAATATATTACAAGCTTTTGTGTCAAGTAACAGACATATTATCAGTTTGCATATTACAATTGGACTGTTATACAGCCTGAAATTATGCAAGTAAGAATTTAATCTTTATGCTTTTTTTGTAATGAAATCTTAATTAAGCAAGTATAAGGCCAATTTTTCTGATTTTTTTCTTAGTATCTGAAATGCAAATTTAAGACTCGCAAATTTATAATAGTGATTGTTTCCCAGATATATGCTTTAACAATATGGCTTGTATACATACCATAACATCCCGGTAGGCTGGGAATGTCCCATTTTTCGACAATTTTATGCGATGATAATGATAAATATGACTTCAATAATCAAAAATAAAAAGTGAAAGAAAGAAGCCCCCCCCACCCTCCATAAAGCTTATTCTGATTATTTACATTTTCTGATCAGGTGATCAATGATCAAGACTACAAACTTACCAATGCAACGTTTCATATGTTGCTGTTCCTTATATTTAGAATCAGAATCTTTTGAGGAGTAATCAGGTGATTCTGTTGCTACTTGGCAGAATCAGTCAGAAGCTATTTCATCATAACTGGCATCCTACTCTTCATCATAATTCTCATCACTCGACTCTTCAGCATCTAAATAGAAATTGAATCATTTAAAATGACAGTCAGTACTTGAAAACATGCAAATGATCCCAAATATCTCTTTTACTTATTTTAATTTCATTGCTAATAAAAAATTTAGAAACTATTACAGACAGAAAAACAACTTAATACCTACAAAATCCATTGCATTTATTATTTCATGAAGATTTTAAAATAAACAAATTATCTATCAACATTTTATAACTGATAAAGTAATAAGACCAATCTAAAGAACCTCCCTCTTAATTATTAAAAGCCGGATTCCACTGTAATCCTCTTAAAATATACTTCATTAACTTATGGTCCATTAGCCATGGTATAATGCTAGTTCCCTAATGAATCACTTCATATCAATGTAACCCATTAATCATTATCCTGCAGCTTAAATAAGTTTGCAAACTTACATGATTAATTTCAACCCCAGAAAAAACAATCTTCTTGTTCGGTCCGGAATTTTCAATATTTGTACCTTGTATCATCTCCACTCCTGAAAATATTTTGTAACACTCTTCAAAATTCAAAATAAAGTAGATTTCCAAATCTTCTTTTTGACATGTTCTTTGTTTACTTTAGTTCATTGTAATGTACCTACAGTTTACCGTTGCACAATTCCTGACCAAAGTCATTAAATATTTCATACTGATTCCTCTAATTTCTTAACATTTGAAGAACTCAACAAAAGCTTTAGACACAAGACTAAGGCAGTCTTTTGTCACTGAAGAATTAAGTATTCCTCAGCTTAATAACTTGACAAAAAATGACTTTAATTAAAGACAAGTATCATGACCAACTGTCCGGAAGAAAATTCTAAAATACAGACACTTCTGAGAAAGCTTTTAATTTTAGAAAAATAAAATAGTATAAACGTCACTTCATTACTTCTTCATACCAAAATGGGAACTCAAGTGAAAATTTATATCAAGTCTATAAAGAAAACAGTATTCTCTGCCTAATCGCTGTGAATTAACAGTATGCTAATACATGTAAGATGCAGGTGTTTTCTTGCCATTAAAAATAAATATTCCACTTGAAAACGAATTGAGGACAGTACATACTAAATCACCTGCAACTGAGAGCAGTGTGTAATAAATCACAAGCAAGTGAGAACTCTTTAAATACATTAGAATAACTATTTTTTGTGTAAGAACAATTTTCACATATCTTGTCGATGTCAGACCACAGTATGATGTAGCCAAAGAAAATAAACATTTAGATTCTCAATAGAATTTTGGATAAGAACCAAGCGGGTCAGGGCACTTTTTATTTTTCTTTTATTATTGAAATAAGATGGACTTTATTTACATTGAAAATAAAAAAAAATGATTGGTTTTATTTATGCATCATGTCCGCTGAAGGGAAAATGTATCTATCAGAGAGGAATCTAACTGAGTGGGGCGGTCGGGGATGAGAATCAGACATATTTTTTTTCTAAGGCCTAAGTACTGTGAGCACAATCATAATACATAATACAATAACTATTATTATAAATATTCAGCTGTTAAATAAACTCTTGCATTTATATTAATTGTGAAACTAAAAGTCTAGTAGTTTTCGACTAGTTTAAATATTGGGCCCTGTAAGAAAACAGAATATATGCTAATAAGACAAATACCGTCATATTCATTGATAGCTTCATGGGTTTTAACCTCATCAAGTTTGTTGGTAGACACTTCATTGGTATCAGCTATGTTGCTACTATTTATGTCATTATTTATGTCATCATTTATATGATCATATTCTCCAATATCTACAATACAAGCAAACAAAAACATGCTATAAGAAATATTCAGGCAACAATTACTATAATTATAAGGCTATAATGTCATATATCCTATATCATTTCAAAATGTATCAATAGCTCTCTCAAAAAGTAACAAGTTATCAATAATAGCAAACCAGTTTTCGAAATTATGACCAAAACACAAGTCTATAAAGAAAACAGTATTCTCTGCCTAATCGCTGTGAATTAACAGTATGCTAATATATGTATGATGCAGGTGTTAAAAATATTTTTTGCTTTTAAAAATAAAAAAATGTTCCACTTGAAAACCAATTGAGGACAGTACGTACTAAATCACCTGCAACTGAGAGCAGTGTGTAATAAATCACAAGCAAGTGAGAACTCTTTAAATACATTGGAATAATTATTTTTTGTGTAAGAACAATTTTCACATATCTTGTGCAATGTCAGACCACAGTATGATGTAGCCAAAGAAGATAAACATTTAGATTCTCAATGGAATTTTAGATAAGATCCCTCGAGTCAGGGCACTTTTATTTTTCTTTTATTATTGAAATAAGATGGACTTTATTTACATTGAAAATAAAAAAAAATGATTGGTTTTGTTTATGCATCATGTTCGCTGAAGGGAAAATGTATCTATCAGAGAGGAATCTAACTGAGTGGGGCGGACGGGGATGAGAATCAGACATATTTTTTTTCTATGGCCTAAGTACTGTGAGCACAATCATAATACATAATACAATAACTATTATTATAAATATTCAGCTGTTAAATAAACTCTTGCATTTATATTAATTGTGAAACTAAAAGTCTAGTAGTTTTTGACTAGTTTAAATATAATGGGCCCTGTAAGAAAACAGAATATATGCTAATAAGACAAATACCGTCATATTCATTGATAGCTTCATGGGTTTTAACCTCATCAAGTTTGTTGGTAGACACTTCATTGGTATCAGCTATGTTGCTACTATTTATGTCATTATTTATGTCATCATTTATATCATCATATTCTCCAATATCTACAATACAAGCAAACAAAAACATGCTATAAGAAATATTCAGGCAACAATTACTATAATTATTAGGCTATAATGTCATATATCCTATCTCATTTCAAAATGTATCAATAGCTCGCTCAAAAAGTGACCAGTTATCAATAATATGAAACCAGTTTCCAAATGATGAACAAAACACAAAGTCTATAAAGAAAACAGTATTCTCTGCCTAATCGCTGTGAATAAACAGTATGCTAATACATGTATGATGCAGGTGTTAAAAATATTTTTGCTATTAAAAAAAAAATGGTCCACTTGAAAACCAATTGAGGACAGTACATACTAAATCACCTGCAACTGAGAGCAGTGTGTAATAAATCACAAGCAAGTGAGAACTCTTTAAATATATTAGAATAATTATTTTTTGTGTAAGAACAATTTTCACAAATCTTGTGCAATGTCAGATCACAGTATGATGTAGCCAAAGAAAATAAACATTAAGATTCTCAATGGAATTTTGGATAAGATCCCAGCGGGTCAGGGCACTTTTTATTTTTCTTTTATTATTGAAATAAGATGGACTTTATTTACATTGAAAATAAAAAAAAATGATTGGTTTTGTTTATGCATCATGTTCGCTGAAGGGAAAATGTATCTATCAGAGAGGAATCTAACTGAGTGGGGCGGACGGGGATGAGAATCAGACATATTTTTTTCTATGGCCTAAGTACTGTGTGCACGATCATAATACATAATACAATAACTATTATTATAAATATTCAGCTGTTAAATAAACTCTTGCATTTATATTAATTGTGAAACTAACAAGAGCTGTCACAGGAGACAGCGAAGCTCGACTAATAAAATACTGGACGCAGTAAGGAGGACAAAATACGAAAGAAAAATCAATATGTATAATTATGTTTTAAGTTATAGTAAAAAAATAACATTTGTTAACATAAATTCCAAGATCAAGGGGAATAATTCTTGAAATAGTCATGCTAGAGTTATGGACCTTGTCACACAACATTTGTGTAATGATAAGAAATATATATTTGAAGTTTGAAGTAGACACCTTAAAAAGTAAAGAAGTTATTATATTTCTTAAAGAAAATCCTAAGTTCAAAGAGAGAAAAATCTGTAAATATTGCTTCAAGAGTTATGAACATTGTCACATAAAATGTAATTGATGATAAGGAATAAGTATTTGAAGTTTGAGGTAGATACCTTTAAAAATAAAAAAAGTTATAATAAAAAATAACATTTTTTTAGTAAAAAAATCTAAGTTTATGGGGAGATAATTCTTGCAATATTGGTGCTAGAGTTATGAACCTTGTAACATAAGATGTGGATGATGATAACGTAAATATATTTGAAGTATGAAGTTGATCCCTTTAGAAATAAATAAGTAACAGTAAAAAATAATATTTTTTATGGAAAATTCTAAGTTCAAAGGGAGATAAATCTGAAAATATTGGTGCTAGAGTTATGAACCTTGTCACATAGGATGGGGATGATGATAACGTAAATATATTTGAAGTATGAGGTTGATCCCTTAAGAAATAAAGAAGAAACAGTAAGAAATAGCATTTTTTGAGGAAAATTCTAAGTTCAAGGGGAGATAAATCTGTAAATATTGGTGCTAGAGTTATGAACCTTGTCACATAAGATGGGGATGATGATAAGGTACATATATTTGAAGTATGAGGTTGATCCCTTAAGAAATAAAGAAGTAACAGTAAAAAATAGTATTTTTTATGGAAAATTCTAAGTTCAAGGGGAGATAAATCTAAAAATATTGGTGCTAGAGTTATGAACCTTGTCACATAAGATGTGGTTGATGATAAGGAACATATATTTGAAGTTTGAAGTTGATACCTTAAGAAATGACAAAGTTATAGTGAAAAATATTTTACTGCACCAAAACTTTAATCTAAAATCTGGACGCGGACGCCGACGCCGAGGCGAGTAAGACTGCTCTCCATATACTTCGTATAGTCCAGCTAAAAATCTATAGTCTGTCCCATTAAAAATGGAAATGAACTTTTGCCTGGTATGAATTAACAAAACGACGTTGAATAAAAAATAAAACTTTTTTGTAAACTAAAAAAAAGTCACCCTCGAGATTTTTCATGATTTTACTCTAAAGTGTCTACTTTTTTGTGAAAGCAATTTTGATTTCTCTATGGAAATTCTGTTGTTATTTTCCGTAGCCATTGAGCGAAGTACTCTTCATTTGAAGATGAACGGGAGAAAGCGCGTGTCATGTTTCTAAATTATACATGAGGTTCTCGGGGGTCGTTTCATGATTATTTTACAAAGGCTGGATCTACAAGATGTAACGGTTCAGTTTGCAATGCATGATGGAAAACTTTAAAAATGAACAAAAATAAGGAGCAACAAGAACACCGAGTCACATGGAGTAGTCTAGAAATTGCACTTACTTTTAAGCTGAATAGAATCCTATGATTTTATAAACGTCACGACAAATTCGATTCTGAAGATTTCCTTCATTTCCAGTTTTCTATCCAGTTCCATAGATTCCACTTTTTGACTTCAAAATCCTAATGACGTGAGTCATGACTCCTACACTTTTGGATGATCCAGATTTTTTAAACTGATAATCCGTCTCATTATTAAAACATTCTTCAATTTGTGGAGTTATCTGGGTTAGCAAATGAAATATGTAAATGAAACACATCATAATTCAGCATGTTCCAAATCCATATATTCAAGAACGGCCCATCAATTTTAGTTGTCAACATCACAATGCTCATGGATTCCTGACGAAAAAAACTTTATTACGTCAACAACAATTGACGAAATATATGACGTAACAAAAAATGCCTCGCGCTTTTTATGGATGATTCCAGTTGCGGCATTGACAGAGGGCGGTTTAGGCATATGACCTCAAACAGATAAATTTTAAGCGTTGAGGATAAATTTGTCTTGATGTCATTTAAAAATAATTTTTGTATACCAGATTTTGTCAACTTAACTGTAGAAAATTCCACGTTCAATTCATGATATTAATAATAATAAAACTTTTGATAACATTTAAAAAATTTTAAACACACTTAAAATGACATAATCTACAACATACAATACTTCTTTCATTAATTAATATAAAAATTCGTTTTGATTTTATGTTTTTGAACTATTTTTTATATTTCTCAGAAATAGTTTCCCTACATATTTATCGTTATTCAAGACTTCTGTAAATCTTACTCTTTTAGCTACAAAATAAACAATACGTGGTGTTTTTCTCCCGCGAAAAATAGGTAGCATGACACTTCACCCCCCAGACACTTCACCCCTCAAATTTTGAAGACACTTCACCCCTTGAGACACTTCACCCCTCAAAATCAGTAAGACACTTCACCCCTCATCCATTTTTTTTCTAGAAAGTAAATAAGCGACAACATAATGCTATTAACTGTTTATTTTAATTATTTAAGTATTGTTGATTTAGAATTTTTCAATTAAAGGATAATCTACAAACATTTCAAAGAGTAAATATTTGTAAATATTTTAGTAAATAGTTTCAGAAACAATAACATCTAATAATTATTTAACCATTTGTTGCTAACAATTAAGTAAACTTACTGGTGTCACAATGCTATGTGTTGCCAGTTCCATTTGTATTCATGTTTTGCTTTCAATTCATTAAACAAGATAACTGTCAATTAAAGACACAAAGGAAGTGTGAACAGATTATAATTACTTAGTAATAATATATCAAGGTAGATAGATCAAGATTCTTTTATTCCTCCAATCATGAAGAGTAGTAGAGTTCACCACACTCAATAGTAAAGATTATTCAATTAGTGTTATACTTGCACTTTAAACGAAATTAGTATAAGATATATAAAGATGAAATAAAAAATAAAGAAATTACTTACTACATGTATTAACGTTGTGAAACAAGCCTTTTTGTAGAGCAAAACAACAATATATCTTTGGCCTTTGGTCAATTAATATGATAAAAATAAAATAAATATGTTTAAAACAATAAACATACTCGATCACTATTGAATACATTTAACATTTTCTACATAAATGGTTGTTTAACACAAAATAAAAATGGGGGGTGAAGTGTCTCAATCAAATTTTTTAAAATGAGGGGTGAACTGTCTGAGGGGTGAAGTGTCTGCAAAAAAGGGCCTAGGGTGAAGTGTCTGGGGGGTGAAGTGTCTGTAAACCGAAAAATATGCTAGATTTTAGATTTATTGTTTTTACACTGAATAGTTTCAAATTTTAGGAAGGCTAAAATTATTGAGAACGTCACTCGGTGTTTCTCTTTGACTCGATCTACCCTTCTTATAAACAAAATAATTATATGTAACACTTTGTGTCTACCAAAAACCACTTATTGTTGCTTATTGAACACTCTTATTCAAACTTACTCTTAATAATATCAAATCACTGCCGGTATTTCTTTACATTTTGTTGAATTGCGAGACGGAAAGTTAAATATGTATTTACGAGCTTAAAGGGTATAGGCCTACAACTAGAAAGCATGATATTATATTCTTATAATTTATATTTTCCTCGAACGCGAGTCTGTGTTCTCCCGTTTGCGACGGAGTTAGTTAAAGTAGACTCTGTGGTAACAAGCAAACCAATGTTGATCCTTATAGTGAATCAGTTTTCTTAATATTTTTTGTCAGATTTGCATGAAAATGTAGTACTTGTTGGCGATTTCTTGTGAAAGTTGAAACCTACGGAAAGTTTTAGCGCACGAACATCGCACCCGAAATAAGAAGGGTTGCATATTTTTGTATCCCATCGAACCTGGTCAATTTATTTATTTTTGAATAGACGTGATGCACACTAATGGACAAAATTCAGACAACTACAGAATTATTTAAATTAAACATTAATTAACGAAGAACCATTTTTATAGTCTTCTAGCTAGTGTTCCCGCTCCCCTACGACGCGCTGCGGTATTCAAGATACGCGCTTGATTGAAAAGCTATATAATCAAATCACTTTCTTAAAAAATATGGAAAACGACATTATATCATGTTAACTTATTAAATCTTTGTGTGTTAAAATTTATAAACCTTACTGATATTTTAACTTTGAACAAATGATTTTGATTATTTTAAATAATGGTTTGCTAGTAAAATTGCCTTTTTGACTCAAACTTTGTTGTCATTTTTCATTTTACTAAAAACATTTAGCTATTGATCAATAAGTGAATAAGAATA